CCTTCACCTCACACATGAGCAGATCAATTTCCTCAGTGTTAAATCTTACTGACGTCCATCCTGCCAAGTCCACCAGTATGCTAGCAATCCTCCAAACATTCAAACTCGCATCTCTTACAGAAGATGTGAGGTTACACACTGATTGGATAATTGCACACAGAACACACCCCTTCTTTAATAAGGAGATCAAATACAGCCCTTTTGCTACTTGCACAGGCACTTGCACCGTTCTTCCTCATTTTCACATTACCAAAATTAACATGGACACACCCAAACAACACTTGTGCCAATCCATACAATACATTGATCAGACACCTTGGATCCCCAGAATAGGGCCCTTAGTCTTAGTCCTAAATTTAGAAGTCAATGTTGGTTTTAATCATGAGGTCATCCTCATCTTTTCTTTAGTTTAGTTTTAGTTGATGAAAACAAGACATTTTAGTCATGAGAAGATTAGTTGACTCAAATATCACAATTAAGTTTTGTTCAAGCACAACAGTGAGGACTGGGTTTTGCAGTTTGTTGTAGATGGTATCTGTCCCTCAGTACATGAACCTTTCTTATATGTCTAGGGCTGAAAGGTATACGAGTTGTATTGTTACATATTCTGTGTTGAAGTCAGCAAGATTTTATTTATTCTTCTTGTCCTGTTGGCATGTACCACTTGTTGTCCTTTGTTCCACTTTGTTCTCCAGTGCTGAAATGTCAGCTGACCTACTAACTATTGCAGCCATCCTGCCTTTTTGCAAGTACTTTTGCTTTGTTGTGGACTACAGTTATTGAGATTTGTCTTGTGTTAGCTACACAATGGACTTTTTTTTTTCTCAATTTTTGTCACCTCTTTTTCTCATCAAAAAAATGGTGTGGAGATTTTGTCACAGTTTCATAATGTCAGTTTTATCTCACCTTCATTATGGGGAGAAATGTGAATATGATGAAAATGTTTTGTTTGTTAAATGAAATTAATACTACGATTAATGTTAGGAAGCACTGATGGCTAGGGACTTTGAGTTGGCATTAGTGAGATGTTTATGCTTAGGCCTTTCTCCTTGTCTGTCATGCAGGAAAGAAACAAGTGAGGACTATCACATCTGTGTCTGAAGCAGTTTCCATCTTCTGCTATGAGAATTATTGTCATTGACAGCATCAAATGATCCATTTTTCACCAGCTCACTCTGACCTGCTATTATGAAAATATTTTCAGTGTAGGAAGCAATAACCATTTTGTTTTGGGGCATTAGATACTTTGCTCTGGCTAAGAAACATGAGTTAATAAGAAGAATATGGTGGCAATGATGAAATACATTTTCCAAATTTAATGCAGGCTCTTTATTTTATATTTGGTATGTGTAAGGCAGTGGTTTATCAGAGAGTTGCTGAGAGTGAAGAGAGAACAAACAACAGGTGAAATAATCCATCATTTTAAAATAGCAACTGAAAGGTTTTTGAGCTTTGGACCCAAATACAAAACCCGAAGGATACATTTTTCAGTTAGAACAATCTTTCACCAACAAACTTGAGAAGAGGAAGGGCAAACAGTAACATACAACTTGGCAGAAGATAAAGTCAGCTAGGTACAAAAAACACAATCTTCAGGCCCTCAGGATAAATCACAGTTTATGGAGCTGGAGCAGGTCAGATAAGTACCTAGGTGAGTGGGCACAGTCTTTGTTGTCGCACAAGTTACCAGTTAAAAGGGAACAGGCTTAAGTAGTGTCAAGGGGCAAAAACAGTCTGGTGCACAGAGGACAGAGTGGCAAACAAATCAGAAAAGGGGCAGACAACTGATCAGGTTGTGATTCAGGCATACCAGTACCAAGGGGCAAGGACAGTTGGAGGTGGGCACAATTCAGCAACGAGCAGGCAAAGTTTTGTAACAGGCAGAAGGCAGGATGGCTGGAGACCCTCTGGCATGAAGTTGACAGTCCTTTGTCCTTTGTAGTGAAGAGTGCAATACTGTACTGGCCACAGTCTTTTAACGTGGCTGGCTGATGACACCAGTGAGAAACTGGTGTGTGTGGGGGGGAAGCAGGGAGGGGCAGGAGCAAAGGCATGCAAGAGGGCAAGGCAAGGACTTTACAATTCAGTACTGTTCCTGGGGGTTTGTATTTCAATGTATATTTGGCATAGTGGCCAAACCACATTATTACAACTTCTGTACACATCACATGACACACACTAGCCCAAATAGCATTTTTCCCATAGATGATTATTGGAAAAGCAGCGGATGTAAAACGGAATAAATTTTTCTGAGTGTTAAAAATGATTGTTTTTATCATCAGAATTTGGTTCACTGGGACCACTTTCATTTGGAAAGCCTAGTTGAGCTGTAGGATATTTTTATTGAATCCCATTCATGTGTGCATGGAGCCACCTGGAATTCAGCCGGCTCGACTGGCAGGACTCTCAGCTTGGCTCAACTGTGCATGCTCCATGGGCCCCAAAACACAGAAGCGAGGGGAACATCCAGGGGGTTTTTTTTTTTTGGCTGAAATCAGGAAGCATGATGATTCTTTTTTATTTTATTTTATTTATTTTTTTATCATGCCCCACTGAGCAACTTTTCTAGGAATGAATAGGCTCCATCTAGCAGTGCTATATCCAGATTTCCATTAATACATGTTCAGACTCCCATACTTGGGAGCTTGGATTTGGCAAGTTTGAACTTTAAGCACATACTCCTGAGAACAGGAAGACACAGTGCTGTCTGTTTTCAATAGGAGCACCAGCATCCTTGCTGACAGGCTACTGTGCTCTGAATGAGATGTAGCTGCCTGCTAATTATAGCTAGCTGGTCCATTAACACGTACTGGCATCTCTGAAAATGTGCAAGTGCATTTCCAAAGCGCCATTACTTGATAAACTGTCCATACATTTTCAGTCTAAGTGGTTACTTTCTTATCTGAAAAAATAAAACTTTATGAAGAGGCATAATAACAGTCCTAGAATAGAAATTATAACAGCTTTGAGCCTGGCCTAAACTCTGATACCTGCCACACAGTGCATTCTGGGATACTTGGTTGCCCCAAGTCCACACAAGCCAGCTTCCAAAGCATTCTTGATCAAATGGGCAGAGCAAGAACCCTTCTGTTTTTTTTTATGTGTACTTGGCTGGATCCAGACTTTGAATTGGAACAGTACTCGGGCTGTGACTGGTGACATTTTACAAGTTGGCAAGAACACAAGTACAGAATAGTATGCATATTGGAAAACACCCCATGTCTTTTATACAGAACATCCATGGTAAAAACAAGGGAACAACATGACAAGGCAGAAATGCCTAATGGTGTTAGAAAATGTAAACTTGTGGATATGAAATTTTGCCATAATCAGAATGAAACTGATCAAATATAGTTGGTTACTTTTGTTCCTGCTGTGGTCATGATGACTAAATAAAACATTTCCCATGAATTTTGGAGATGATGAATGTAGATGCATCCTTACAATGCCTTTGACTATATTGACAATGAACAACAGTCTCAGTGGAGGAGTTACGGAAAACACAGGTAATATAAAATCTCAAATCTCATAAAATAGTGTCTAAAGAGGTAGAATCTATGAAGTTAGATTAAAGGATGTTTTTCTCTTGTTATATTATTGATCATGTATTTGTGGGGTAATGACCAAACCCTTTTCACAGCAAGTGTCAGGAACAAATTTACTCCAGTATGAGACAACCTATGGTAGGCCTACAGATATGACATCTTGTTGGAAAAGCATCTGAATTGACTGATTATTCTTTTTTTTTATCAAAACATATTCTTCTTAAAGTTGAGTCAGCTGGGATCAATAGAGGGGAACTGTCATGTTCTTAAAAACATGGTCAATCCAGAGGGCATTGCTCCAAAACCACTGAGTATTTTTTCGGTGTAACAGGAAGAATACATTTGTTAATAAATTCCATATATGTCAGTGAAAGACCCTGGCCACTGAAAAATGATCCCACCAATAGAATACTGTCTCAAACCAGTGCTGAAAAAAAAAACGAGTACTTATTTTGGTACAGTATGCATGGGATGGTGTAGTCAGTCTATTGATAATCACCTTACTTCTCAGGGGATCAATATCCACTATCATAAGGTCCAAATTTCAGTTTGCCCAATGCTGTGGTTTGTGGCCACATAACTGAAAAATAAATAACATCCTCATCAGCCTCAGCTGTAATTTGTGCTTGGTGATACTTAGCAAATATTAACATGCAAAACTAAGATGGTGAACATTGTAAACAAAAAGCATTGTAAACTTCAACATATTGTCATTGTGAGCATGTTAGCATTCAGTACTGCTGTTAGCATTTACAGTGGTTCAAAGCACCATGGTTGTTAGTCTTACTTAGATTAAAACAGACGTTCCTTAATTTTTTAACGCTTCTTTTTGGTTATTTCTGTTAGTTGGTGACAAGGTGCCTGCCGACATCAGAGTGACCTCTATAAAGTCCACTACCCTGCGAGTGGATCAGTCCATCCTCACAGGTATTTGTCTTCTCTTATCAGACACCAGACAGTCTTGCTTCACGGTTTTCACATCATTTAGACAGACTATATTATTACATGAATTTAGAAGACCCAAGGTTGTAAGCATCCAACAATTTTAGTTATATTCATATTGTCTCTGATAGTACTTTATACCCCTTTAGGCTGTGATTGTAACTGTGTTTGGCTTTGTGACTGTCAAAACATCCCACTTTATTCTATCACCTGTCGCCTGCAGATCTAATTGTCTCGTTTTCTTTTCTTAAGGGGAGTCTGTGTCTGTCATCAAACACACTGACCCTGTTCCTGATCCCAGAGCTGTCAACCAGGACAAAAAGAACATGCTGTTTTCTGTAAGAATACCCCCCTTGCAGCTCACTGAGTAATGTTTGTCTTTTGACTTCATGTCAGGAATTGATTGTCATAATACACAAATTGATACAATGCTGACTTTGAGTCTCCTTGTTGATGTGTTGATTGTACTTACTGCAAAATTTGATTGGTTTAATGTGTGGATGTTTGATTTATTGCTCCATTTGATTGAAACTGTTGCCTCTTGCATTCAGCAAAATGACTTAGAATGATTTTTTTTTAGCCAATTTGTTCAAAGAAATGAAAATCAAATTTCTCCAATATATCATCAGTTGTTGGTTTTTTTTTTCTGCTTCACTTTTTTTGCACCCATGTCTCTCTTTTTCTCTTGTCCTCAGGGCACCAACATTGCTGCAGGCCGTGCCATAGGCGTCGTTGTTGCTACAGGCACCGCCACAGAGATCGGAAAGATCCGTAATCAGATGGCATCTACAGAACAAGAGAAGACGCCACTGCAGCAGAAGCTGGATGAGTTCAGCCAGCAGCTCTCCAAGGTCATCTCCCTGATCTGTGTGGCTGTATGGGTTATCAACATTGGGCATTTTGGAGACCCTGTCCATGGTGGCTCCTGGGTTCGAGGTGCTATCTACTACTTTAAGATTGCTGTGGCACTGGCTGTAGCTGCCATACCTGAGGGTCTGCCTGCCGTCATCACCACCTGCCTGGCCCTTGGTACGCGTCGCATGGCCAAGAAGAATGCCATTGTTCGCAGCCTACCCTCTGTTGAGACGTTGGGCTGTACCTCTGTTATCTGCTCTGACAAGACAGGCACCCTCACCACCAACCAGATGTCTGTTTGCAGAGTAAGTGGCAACCAGAAAACTAATACATGCTAATTGTTTGAATGTGGATTTGACTGCTGATAGTACAGTTTAACCCATGGATCAGTGTATTATTGCAGATGTTTCTGTTGCACTGCTGTTCCAGAGTGGAAACTGAAGCCTGATCATTTAATATGTACACCCTTTGTGGAGGTGAATTCTACAAGCGTTGGCTACTGATTTTCGAAGTTAATTTCCACACCTCGACCGTCTTTGAGATTATGCTTACTTTGTTCCTCGTGTGTTTTTGTGCAAGTGGGGCTTAAGGAATTATGGAAAATCCTTGTTGGTGTTGTAGTGTTTACCTTCTCTTGGCAGGAATGACATATAGTAGCTGCTGGTGTAGTAGTGCAGGCTGGTGTGGTCAAGCAACACCCAGAGTATCACCTTATACTGTACTGTATCAGCTCACACATACACGTCACATCTCCTGAATAAACACGATCGTATTCTGAACTGTCCTGTAGAATATAAATGGTGTATATATAATTACATTAGACAAACAGAAAGATCTTATCTATGACTATTCAAAAGAGTTCAGCCTCACCCTTTCCTTTGTGTTTGTCAGTATGTCTATGTGTGTGTTTCTCGCTAGCCGTCTTTGCTCCAAGCACAGAAAAAATGCCAGAGCTGCTGTTTGTCTTGGCTCCTGTTAAAGACTCTAGCTTTGCATGCATGCACGCATGCACACACACACACACACCTAATCTCACTTAACACTGCTTGTCCTTACATTGTCCATTTCACCTCTCACATCAGTTAATGACCTCAGAGTTAGTGGCCAGTATGAATAGGGCAGCACTAAAGCCATGTCCACAAAAAAACTGGTCCCAGAGGACAGTGTTCGTGTTCATTCAGTGATTTCCACTGTCACATGGCAAATGTTTATTTATTACTGAGAGGAGGTTCATAACCAGTCTTTAGAAAACATATGGCGTGTGGCATCATTTTGAAGTCTAGAGCAGAGTCACAAGTCTGAGAGTCAAGTCTTAAGTCTCTGAGTTAGAGTCCAGGTCAAGTTTCAGTTGACAGTTGCAGACAGAGACCAGGAGGAGTGGGAGCTAAAGAAAGTAGTTTAATGAACAAAACATAGGTAATGCTGGGTGGCAGGAAGACGAACAGGCTCCAGGGAACCAGGAGTGATGAGGAGGAACCCAGGAGGGAGACGAGGAGACCAGGGAGGAACCCCAGCGCCACATCGTTTATCACGCAGTAACCATGAGTCAGAAACACCATGTTCAAGAAGCCTGCACTGGCAGACACTCAGAGTGCAGGGAATTCAACATTTCCCTGAACTGTACAGTAATTACATTACATTGCAAAGATAAGGAGCCTAACACCAGTCAACACACCTGATATTACAGCAACAGCACTGACGTTAACATAACGTTACGATAACTCCGGGTTAATTTAGCTAACTTGGTTCTACAGCACTGACCTGCTTGATAGAGTTTTCTAGTTGAATGTGGTTGGCCTGGTCTTGATGTTCAAGTTTAGAGACAATTACATGCGAGTTGCAAGTCAAGTTGGAAGTCTATTTATGGGGGTCTTGAGTGCGACTCGAGTATGAGACACCAAATCAAGTGCCCAGTAGAGAGGTTTACAGAATCTGAAGCAGACCCATGGAAAACCCACCAAAAACCATGTGCCTTAAATTAATTTATGAAAAAGAGACCTGATCCAAATAGAGCCAAGCATAATTAAACTTGATCCAAAATGTTATTGACCTGAACAGCCCTAATAGAGAGAGAACACCAAAGTAGACTGATGCAGTATCAATTTCTGGTAGAAAATAACAATACAATGGAAGTATAAGACAAAGTATAAACATGTATAATGCTTAATAAAGTCATGTACAATCAGAGAAACTAATTCCTAAAAGAAGTTGTTGATATGCTTCAGTGACTATTTTGTAGAAGAGATTGAAAGTCCTGTTTTCACTTCCTGCACCAACAATATAATATTCTGTTGTCAGACAGAGGGATAGAAAATAATCATTTTCTAAAGCAATTTAATATTTGTGAATCAAATTCCATTTGTCATTTAGTAAAATAAACTTGTGCTCAAGAGAGCTGAGTGTGATAACCAGAGATACTACTGTACCTGCCGATCAAGAAAAGACACCTCTAAATATGCCACTCTATGAGCTTACAGTATGTAGCTTGAGCTGAACAGCATCCATTATCTTCACATGTGACAAATACAGGACAATGGCAAATGCTAAAATGTAGAGGACTGTGCAACAGACCCTCTTGCTCCTGCCATAGAAACAAGTTAATTCATAGATGCAGGGAGGTTCCTCAAGTGGGAAGGACATAGAGGAGTGATCTCACCACAGCCCCTGAAACACTCCCAGACAGAAAAAGAGGGAAGCAAGCTGACGTTGATAAATATTGACTTTCTTTTTCCTCGCACGCTCCCAGGCCTGTTGTTTTCAGCTTTCTGGTGGGAGATAAGTCAGCACACATACCGTCATGCTGTTACAGAGACAAATTAAACTTCCTCTTTGCAGTGTTTTTTTTTTTTTTTGTCATGGTGTTTCCTGAGGATAGTAATGTTTTTTAGTTTGCGTATGGTGTTTGAGCATGGAGGTTTAATGCCCACAATATTTTGCCTTAGCTTACCTATCTGTGCTTATTCTTAGACTGGTCTCCAGCAGTTTCTACCATGCCTCAGGTGGATCCCCATATCAACATGATTTCCAGGGATTCCTCTTCATGTCCTGAGACCGTACTTCCCTTTTTCCTTCACACACACAAACATGCAAAGATGTGCAATCATGCGTACATACAGTAAAAAGGGTTACTCACCATTCATCCCTACAAAAGCTCAGAGGAAGTGAGTAGAAGAACATGAACTTTTGCCACCTCCACAGAGTCACATCACACTGGGCCTTGTTTTACTTGGACATCATAATGGATCAGATAGTGAGGAATAGTGACCATGGATGAAAGAACAACCTTCATTTTTTCCCCTTAGGCCCTACTTAGTGCGTGCTCTGTGTTCCTTTGTAGAGGTTGCTGCGTCTCTGTATAGTCACTGTCAGTTTGCTATTGAATTGTAGAACAGAGAGTAGCGACTGTGGTGACCTTTGTGAAATTAAGAGTGGGGGACATTGAGTCCGAATGGACTATGTCCCTCACCTCCATTGTTAGGGCGGCTGCTGGGAGCTGTGACCATAAAGTCTCCGGGGCCTGTCATAGCGGCAATCCCTGAGCACGCAAGTAAGGGATGCTGTCAAGCTAAAGAAGGAGCTCTATCAGGCCTGGTTGGCTCATGGGACTCCTGAAGCAGCTGGCAGGTACCAACAGGCCAAGTGGTATGCAGCCCTGGCAGTTGCCATGGCAAAAACTTGGGCCTGGAAGGAGTTTGGTGAGGCCACGGAGGAAGACTTTCAGTTGGCTTCAAAGAGATTCTGGAGAACTGTCCGGCGGCTCAGGAGGGGGAAACAGTGTTTTGCCAACACTGTTTAGAGTTGTGGTGGTGTGCTGCTGACCTCAACTGAGGATGTTTTCGGCCGGTGGAAGGAGTACTTTGAAGAGCTCCTCAATCCCCCTGTCATGCCTTCTGTAAAGGAAGCCAGGGCTGGGGACTCGGAAGGGGACTTGTCTATTACCCTGGCTGAAGTTGCCGAGGTAGTTAAGGAACTCCTTAGGGTGTCGGAGGGTTCATGGGAGTTTGCCCAACCAGTCTGCTGTGTTTTGTGGATCTGGAGAAGGCATTCAACCGTGTCCCTTGTGGCATCCTGTGGGAGGTACTTCAGGACTATGGGGTGCGGGGCTCATTGTTACGGGCTGTACGTTCCCTGTATGACCGGAGGATCTTGGTTCGCATTGCCGGCAGTAAGTCAGACCTGTTTCCAGTGCATGTTGGACTCCATCAAGGCTGCCCTTTGTCACTGATTCTGTTCATTATTTTTATGGACAGAATTTCTAGGCGCAGCCAGGTAACGGAGGATGTCTTGGTTTGGTGGCTGCAGAATCTCGTCTCTGCTCTTTGCAGAGGATGTGTTTCCATTGGCTTCATCAGTTCAAGACCTACAGCGTGCACTGGAGGGGTTTGCAGCTGAGTGTGAAGCAGCGGGGATGAGAATTAGCACCTTCAAATCTGAGGCCATGATTATATGTCTTGTTTTGGTGGCTGCAGAATCTCGTCTCATTATCAGTTGGAAAAGGGTGGATTGCTCTCTCCGGGTTGGGGGCAAGTTGCTCCCTCAAGTGGAGGAGTTTAAGTATCTCAGGGTCTTGTTCACGAGTGAGGGAAAAATGGAGTGGCAGGTTGACAGATGGATCGGTGCAGCGTCCACAGTAATGCGGTCTCTGTACCGGTCCATCGTGGTGAAGAGGGAGCTGAATCGTAAGACGAAGCTCTCCG